GAGGTTGTGGGGAAGGAGACAAGGTGTGCAAGTAGCAACAATGAGGAGGAGGATGAGGAGTTAATTAATTAATTAATTAATTAACTAATTAATTTCAGTTTTACTTCTCTAGGCTAGCAGCAACCCACTCTCTGCCCTGACCCTAAGCTTTGCTAGCAAGCTTCCCACACTTCTATGAGAAGAGGATATCTGGCAATTCAATTTAGCAGCAGCCTAGCTTCAGCTTCAGCTTCAGCAATTCAATATATATATATATATATATATATGTAGTGAAATTTGTGTGTGGATGGGCGTCCTCCCCAAGACGTCCGTCCATCCATGAGGCATCAGCATACGTGGAAGAAATGGCAGCGGATGTTGTATCAGTTCGGTTGGGGAAAAAACAAAGAAAACAAGGAGTGAAAGAGGGTGTAAATGGGGCTGTTTTAATGAGAAACGGAGGCCCACATCTCACCTAGGGATATAGCAAGTGGATGGAATTCCAGCACATACTGTTTGCGGTGCCGTTCCCACTTGTTTGCCAGAACAAAATTAGGCCAGAATGATGCTTCATAGACACACACGCGCGCACACACACACATATAGATATATATATATATATATATATATATACTATAAAAATACAGTTGGAAACTTGCTAAGAAACCGATTTAGTGAGAGAGATCATGGCAATTGGGACGCTGAGACAAGAGTGAGGTGGAGCCAGGGGTGACAGTGCGCATTTTAACCGTAATGAATGGAATGGGCAGCAAGCCTGCAATACTTGGCAGAAGAGCCAGGAAGGAGCCCAATTCTGGCTTGGAAACAGGCGCCGCCACCGAAGTCCCCCCCCCCAGGCCAGGACTTGTCATACACTCTTCCTCGTTCTATTTTCACTTGGCGGTGTGAATTTACTCCTAATGATTTCTAATCAACCCATTTTTATTATTTTATTACTTTTTACGAGTGGACTCTAGAGTCGCATTGTTACGTGTCAATCTTATACAATACTTTTTTCTTTTTCTTTTTCGTTTTCTCTACTCCTACTGCTCCTCCGTTTCTGTTTTCCGATACCCAGTTCCCTTTCCCTTCTCACTTGTTCATTCATCCAGTAGTACAGAATCATATGAATCAAAATCCTGCCTTCAAACTCTTGACGTCAGGCACTGTAAAAATTTATGTCTTGATTTATTCTTGAATAAGATATGTAAACTTGATAAAATATTGACTTGGACAAAGTAAATTAGGGGTATGGCCTCTAACAATAAGAATCAATAAGAAGGGCCCTCTTGCTCAAGTATGAATTCCAAAGAATGTTCTCAGCTTAGTCAACACTCATTTCAGTAGTGAAAATCTGATGCCAATAATTGTGTGAGTACATTATTCCACAAAACCAATTCATTTAAAAGTAAAATACAAAAATTGTTGTGTTGTATGTTACAGTATAATACATACTTACATGTGTGTGTGTGTTTCTTTTTCTCTCTCTCTGGAATCTTAGAGCTTGCATGCCAAACACAACAACAAACACCAAAGCCTCTTGAAATCAAAACAAAAGGTTGGTAATTGAGAATCACCTGAGCCATACCTCAATTACAGAAACCTGGTGTCAGTTGGGGCTTGGATTCTTAGTGAATTGGAATTCCCATTAACTGCTCTCTCTGTGTATTGGTCTTGGGGAGGGGGGGATGCTTGTCCTTTTGGGAACTGGGTCTATCACAACAGAGGCTTTGCATGCTTGCATCAGTTATGGGGAACTTTCATGGGGCATGGTGGAATTCAATACAAATACAGTGGTATTTCAAAAAAGCAGTTACAGAGAGACATGCAAGTGCTTTGGAATTTGAAATTTTGGTTTTGGATTGGTTGCTTGTCATGGCTAAACACTGCATATCATTGTGGTCAATTGTTATAGATACTACAGGATTGGGTTATGACCCACAGTGTTGATTTGGCTTTCATGACACCCATTTTGGACCATGATAAAGTTTTTCTTCTTTGTGGGTTTAGGGTTTAGGGTTTGAGAATGTCTTTACTCTTGCAAAACCAGGCACCTCCACCAGAAAGTTTGAAAAAGCAGATGATGCAAAATGAACTGAGAATGGAGCTTGTCATGATATATATATATATATATATATTAACTTGAATCAGAGGGGCAGAATTCCTTTTTATTATTATCAACTGACCTAACAAAGTGGATGGAGGGAATGAAATGACACAAACTAATATCCACAAGAAGTTAAAAAAACAAAAATAAATTAAAGTCTCTCCTTGGTGGTCTAAAATTCCACTGGACGTTTGCATCAATTGTACTACCAGAGACTCTATGCAACATCCATATATGGTCAAAGCTCCTTAAGAGGTTGTTCTTTTGCTATAAATTCATTGAAATCTCCTGTTGAATATTGTTCTATGGATAATGTTTGTACAACTCCAACAAAGTTGACCAAAGGAATTCAACCATCTGAGAGTAGGGGATTCAAATCTCATCTCTGGGAAGTTCATTCATCCCTTTGCAACCAAACAGTCCAAACCCACACACTTCCATTGAAGCCAAATTTAAGCCTTTTGTTTAGAGTTTGTTTCAAATGACACATTTAATTCTTTCTATTTTCTCCTTATTTTTCTTATTCCTCTTTTCAATAGACAACCTTTCCAACAGTAAATTCATCTCAACGTTTTTCTTTTCATTTTAAACTCCAAACTTACCAACAGCACTCTCTCACCAAAACACAAGATGGAGAATTAAGACAAGTGTGTTAATTTCTGATGTCTCAGCAGACAAGGAAGCCAATGCTTTAATGAAACAAGGTAAGGGTAGTGAGGGGCAAGAATCAAGGACACACAGAAACAGTGGGACTCTGGTTCAAAGTTGGTCTAAATTGGGAGGAACAATGCTTTGTAAGCAAAAGGGACCGGATGTAAAAAGCCAAGTTGGCTCTCATGGCCTCCCATTTTTGTACACAAAATTTTGCTATGGAAATGGTGAATTGAAGTGGGTTAAAATCCTAGCATGGAAGCATTTAGGGGGTGAGACCCTACATAGATTGAATGATGGGGTTTTCTCAAGTAGCATGAACATGAATTCGCCTTGATTGGATGGAAGGATGTGGTCTCCATACCATCAAGCATATTCCCACACAACTAGATAAGATTCATTGTATTTGCACTCTCTGCAACAACAATCACTTGTGTCTCTTTTTCATACTATAACTGTTCTTCACCATGGGAGATTAAACAAAAAAACAAACAAAAATAAATAAATAAATAAAAATAGAAGAATAATGCAAATGCAAAGAAGGTTGAATGTTTCTAGTTTGAAATTATGAAAAGTTTGACACAACAATTATTTAGAATGTGTGTGATAACCACATCTTCTTCATGAGCTGGGTACCCAATTCAATATTTCAAAGTTGCTAGATTTACTATTTCATGGTTTTATAAATTTCACGCATGCAGGCATGCATAAACATATATATATATATATATATATATATTCACATGCAAACAAGCAATATGGGTTTTCTTTATTGCAGTTTCTGCATCAAATTCATCCACCCAATCAAAAGGAAGTTTAGGTGAATTGCCTAATAATGAAATAATTGTTGGAGGGGAGCAATATTCATTCACTACTCCCATCTCTGCATTGTGAACATGACTTGGTGGTGACTGGGTGGATGAAGAGTAGGACAACAAAATGCATATTTATTTATTTCTTCTTCTTCCAAGTAGGAGGGATAATAGATGGCAATTCACTTATTGTGGGACTCTTTTCTTTTGAATAATGCTCACTCATATCTGGTTCCCATCCATTTATCCACCCATTCTTCAAAGGGTTCTTGGTGGAAGTGCATGGCAAAGATTAGGCACCACCCTCCTTTGTGTTCATGGTCTTTGGCTTGAGAGTTGGTTTCTTTTGGTTGTTGTTTTTGTTGGAAGTATGTGGTTGTGTAAAGGAGATAAAAGACCTTTTGTGGGCCATTGAATTCATTAGGCACATTCCCTCTTCCTGGCCTTAGCTTTACATCACTTTGGACTCCAAAAAAAGAAAAAAAGAAAAAGAAAGACGAGGCATGAAAGTTTTGTAGTGCCACATGTAAGTTTGTTGTGCTATTTGTCATTCAATGCAAAAATTTCATGTTCCCTCCAATAAACACATCTGATCTATATGCATGTCTGTCTTGTAGCTTACTCTCCAATCACCATCTCATTCCATATCAGAGACAAGGAACAAAACAGACCATCTACTTCTTCCTTACACAAACCTTCCAAGCAATGTTCAGATATGTGGGCAAACTTCTTCTTCTTTTTATTTAAAAGAAAAAAGGCACTTCAGTAACTGCATTGCTGATTGTTGGTTTCTAAGAAACTATACACAGCAGTGGAAAGTAAACAGAGCAAGTAGTTGAAATGTGGGAGAAATCATAAAAGAAAAAACTCTTTCTCTTTCATTTGGTTGATGTTTGTTGCAGAGTGCTCACTTTGAAAAGAACACATAGAAAAATTTGCCAGGGGAAGCAAACTTCCTAAGCTGAGCCTTTGTCCCTGTGGTTGATCAAGACGCATATATTTTTGTCAGTGCTAATGTCAAAATGTACTTGTGTAGCTGCATTGGGAAGGTACCAACCAACCAACCAACCAACAACCAACCAACCTGATGACATGGCTTCAATCAACATATAGTAGAGATAGGGGAAAGCCAAGCTACTGCTGCTGACAGACAGAGCTTGTGCATGCTTCCTGAAGCATGAAACTAAGTTAAGTATCCCAAATTTAGTGGCTCCCTGAGCCATACAAAGCACACACCCTACTGCCAATTCTAGGTGACTAAATTGGATCTGGATCTGGGTGACTGCAGGAATTGGCAGATTCATGAAACTGGGATTAAGTTATCCTCTACACCATGGGCATTGCCAATACTCACTCTTTCTACCCCCCCCCCCACATTTATGAGGCGCTATTATTTTTCTCTCTGGCAAAGACCCAGCCCTTCGACGGTCTTCATGTAGAGACTTGCCCGCCCGGCCGGAAATTTCGTCACCGGGCAGCTGGCTCCCAGGGGGCCCTGGTCAAACCGGCATCCCATGTCAATAGACTGCCGGCAATGAAACACTCCCCACTTTCTACAATCTCTCTCCCTCCCTTTGAAACTGATCTCAGGACTGTTTTTGTTCAAGCGCAGTGGAGGATCTCTTGGTGCAGCACTTGGACGCTGTGGTGGTGCTTCGAATTGTGTAGTCGTAGTGGAGATAGAAGTAGTAGTGGTGGTGAATGTGAGAGCACTTGTTGAAGGGAAAGGAGACAGTTTTCCTGGACTGATTGTGAGAGGAGTTTAGATTGGGGGCTTGAATCTGGATGCGAGAGCAGAGCGGCGGAAGGAATTTTGTTTTTGTTTTGTTTGGTTTTTTGTGAGATTTTTCCCGAAGTTGGGAAGGGAATTGGAGCAGGTGGGGGATTGTTGGTGGAAGGGTCGATTGGCAAGGCAGGGTTGAGAGGGTAGCGGATGGCAGTGGCGATGGAGGTTGCGTGGAGGGGTGCGGAATTAGGCAATAGCCCGGTTGTGTTGGAAATGAGCAAGAAGCGTACCTGGGGTGCAGACACAGAGAAATTGATGCAGCTCATGATGGGGCAGTTTGGAAGCTCCTCCTCGCCTGCTGTGGGTGGAGGAGACGTGAAGCAGGAGGTGGATGTGACACTGGACTTGTTGGGCACCGCTGCAGGTTCGTCACCTGCTAGTGGGACTGAATTGGACTGCCACTCCTCCGCTGAGTTTCTGGAGCTGGACCCCGATCAGCCACTCCCCTCAGGCTGGGAGAAGTGCCTTGACTTGAAGGTTAGTCCTGGCTCTCATTCCTTAGAGACAGGTAGCTGTGCCGTCTTTCGATACTGTTGGGAGTCCCCTTCGAAGTCTAAATTGTGGCCTCGAGCATGTAACGGAGAGCGCTCCAACTGTGTGATTGCGGATATTGCAGCGAATTATGCGTTTTTTGCTTTGTTTGTTCATGATCATGTGGCGATGGTATCACATGAGGTTGATTATTTTTGGTGTTTCTACACGCTGTGCAGACAGGAGAGCTATATTTTCTGAATAAGAGCACCGGTGTGAGGACGAGCGAGGATCCACGCAAGGTGCAGCAAACTGTCATTGTGATGATGACCCCAGCAGCAGCCGACGTGGTGCCTGCAGCTTCACCTCTTGCACACGAGTTTCTCGGTAGCAAGCGGTCAGAGACGCTTCGTGAGGAGAGCTTGAGGACTTCGACATCGTCTACTTCCTCGGGAGGTGCAAGTCCACGCGAGAGCAGGCCCGTGGGACAGCAGCTGCTTTCATTTTCCACGGGCAAACAGCTGTGGAATCTCCAACTGGATGACCGCAGCATTTTGAGTCTGAACAAGACGGGAAGCCCCGGGGCCCAACCCCTGGCGCTCCCCAATTCGTCGGATGAGGAGGAATCCAACCTAGAGTTGAACTTGAACTTGGCCGCGGGCGGAAACTCCCCACGGTCGCAACAGCGCACACAGCAGCAAAGCGTGTGCACGATGGAGATGGTGGAGATGGCTTTGAAGAGGACGGAGAAGGCCATGGGGAAGCGGGTGATGCGTACTACCACAGGCTTCGGTTCAAAGCATTCCGGGTCGTCGTCCTTCTCTTCGCTGACCTCGTCCCGGTCTGAGTCATGGTCGCATTCTTCCCCATCAACCAGCAGCTCCTCGTCCACATCCTCAAGGTCTGGCCACCAGAGTGCATCGCACCACGACGACTCCCAAGTGTTGAGGTCCCCCATTCCAGGGTAACCTATCGCTGCTTCTCGATTCCTCACTGTTGATTCCTATTCCATCGCAAATCCTTTTATTTGTTTCTTTGTAAGGATTGCAGTAAAAGTCAAAATGGGTTATCAGACACAAAATCTAACATCGCCGTGTTTTATTTTCCCAGGGTTTGCGAAGTGGAGAGCCAAAAAAGCGAGACCCTTGTGATGGGAGGGTGCACCAGGTGCCTCATGTACGTGATGCTGAACAAGAGCGACCCCAAGTGCCCACGATGCGAGAGCGAAGTGCCGCTGGACTTCAGTTCTCCGTCATCCTCCTCTAAGAGACAACGAGTCGAAACTCCCACAATTCAGACGTCGTAATCTCAGTCTTCTTCGTTGGATTCTGATAGTTATACAAGAAGTGGTTTCTTGAGTTCCCTTTCCCACGCCACTGGAGTCACCCAGATTCCGTGTAAGAAAGGCTGCGGAGACACTTGGTTACCGAAGTAGGAAGGGGAGAAGGGTTGAGAGTCGCCCAATTTCTCTGCTCGAGAAAATAAGTAGGGATTCTAGAGATAGGTGCTCTCATGTACATTGTAAATTTGTAGTTAAACGTTAAAAAGATACATTGCTGGCGCTGAATAAGTGGCGGCAGGAAATTGTACCATGGTTTTGTCACACAGTAAAGTCGCTGATGCTACTAGCGGATCACCACACAAGCCTATCGCATCGTGCGTATCGTTTTTTTTTTTTTTTTTTTTTTTCCCCCCTGTCCTGCGGATATTTTGGTTGATTGCTGTATGACATCCATTGCATACTTTTTTGAGATTTTTCTTCTTATAAGGCTCTCCTTACTGGCTACGACACCCACTTTCATGACAAATTTTAACACGGGACCATCTAATGTACCCTCTCGTCTCTGAGCATTAGGAGCCTGCTTCACACAAACCAACTCCAATATTTGCAGAGCTAGTTTGCTGTGATTTTGATACTGCATCACAGTCTCATGGTGATGCAAGAGCCCCTAGTTGTAACAATCCTCTAAGTGTATCATGCTCCTGTCCACTACTGCCCCTTCTCAAACTCTGAAATGCATGAATCAGCCAAAGGGGGGGGGGGTTTGTTTGAACCCACAAGCCCATTTAACTTGATGCCATGACCACAACCCTCCATTTGCCTTATCCAGCTTCATTGAGATCAGAGGAGGTTGTCCTATTAAGGAGAAAAAGACACTTGCTTTAATATATAGATATATATACACACACACACACACATATATATATATATATATATATATATATGTGTGTGTGTGTGTGTGTATCTATATATATATGTATATATATACATATGTTTTTCAGCAAGGACCTAATGAACAACTGCAGCCTACCCAGAAAACTACCCATTATAATGTACCAACAAATGGGAATTCTTTGACAATACTTGAGATGGATGCCACACTAGCCAACTAGAATTGAAGGCATTTTGTCCTTGCATCCTCCTATTGAAAGCCATGTAGCATAAAAATGAAAATCAGGTGTAATACCAATTTTATTGGTACAACTGAATGCTCACCTTCTTCACCTATATTTTCTCTGCCTCAGCAGCCTCAATCACCATTCATGGCCTTCAATTCCCCCTCAGGCAATCCCCCCCACTTCAAAATGGAGCACATAATGAAAATGATCTTCATTCCATCAATTTCCTTTGAGACCTAGCAGAGGCATGATGGTAGAGTTGGAGTCAGGTTCACAATGTGGTGCAGACATGAGTCATTGAAGGAAAATGGGAGTGTTAATACAATGAATATGGTTATAAGGGGATAGAAGAAGGGATCTGGGAATGGAGAAGAAGGAGGGATGGAAAAAGAAGAAGCAGAAGAAGAAGAAGAAGGTGCCATGGCAATGAAAGCAGAGGCAGCCACAGCTTTAAATTGGGTCCATGTTGAAATCACTGAATGGGCTGTTCCAGTCTAGTAATATGGCTAGTACTCTCTTTCCTTCTTTGATGGCAATAAATTTCTTCATCAATGTCTGTGCTCCTACCCCATCTTATCCTCACTGCAACCCCCCCCCTTTTTTTCTTTTTTTTTTTTTCTCTCCTTGTAGTTTGCAAATTTTTTCTTGCTTTTCATGCAGTGGCCAAATTTAGATTCATTATTTTTTAGGCTTCAAAACTTGTGTAGCTTAGTCTTGATTTCTCTGTAACCTGCCAACACTGAAGAAGGAAAGATGGAAAGAATTGGTGCAGCAGAGTCTGTTGTGATATTTATTATTAATATTATTATTATTATTATTACATTGCAAGATTATAATTCTGATGGAATGTGAACTTGAGAGAGTGGAAGTGTCCTCTACAATCTTCTTCTCTATTTGCTTGAGTCAAAAATCATAAAAAAAATCCTACATTCCAAACTCATTCTATATATATATATATATATATAATTGAAGCGATTTCTGTTTCTTTTTTTATGCCCAATAACACTATTTACAATCTATCCTTTTCAATCATGCCAAGTTTGCACATACCCATGGATTTTATTCTATTTTAGCCCTTTTTCTTCTTCATACTTGGGGTTTTATTCTCAGTCACAATGATTGATCTATCACCTCTTCAACAACTCTCAGTAGGTCTCATTACCACACACACTGACCCTCAATCCATGTCTTAGTGTACCAATGGAGCACAACATCTTGGCCACCATAACTTAAGGTAGTTCAAATGGTAACAAGGACACAAGTGTGAACTCAGCTGGTTGACCCTTTATTCTCCTCTAGTTTTTTATGAGAAACAACATTAGGAAATTGGTTAACAAACAAAACACTCTTTGAAACAATCACAATCAAAATCTGTGCAAAAATGTGTTATGAAACCTTTGACTCTGCTACAACAGCTTGAGTCAGGCACTATGTCATTATCCAAGACAAAGGGCAGTATTGGTCTAGGTGAGAGAATCAAAACCAGAAACTCTTGGTCCAAACATTCAAGCAGGAGGAGCAATTAGTGAAACTTAATTTCATTAATTAAGTGAGTATATTTTAATTGCAAAGGTCCACTATAAAACCTCCCTTCTTGATTGCCGTGGCAACTAAGCACATGCTGGTTTGTTGCATCCCATTGAGAGAGAGAGAATCAGTCAGCTTGAAGCTGTAATGACTGTAATGCCGCAGGAACACGCCAATGCTTGCTTGCTTGGTCATGGCTTGTTTTTTTTTGCCTTTGACCAGATCGGAGCTCTTCCTCATCGTCCTCCTTACATGGGCTGCTGCTGCACCACAAAGCGTAGACTCCGACCTCAGCACCATAATAAGCATCGCACTGCGCTGCCATGTACTCACAGCAGGCCGCGAGCTGCGAGCCACACCCGTGGGAGATCCACGTTGCGGCGGTTCCCTATTGTGGTTCTCATCCGCCTCCTAGTTGAGAAGCCTAAGTTTGCCAGAATGCTATCTAGGTCTGACCTGGGTTCCTGCTAATTTGACTCCAACTTAAGGGAATGGTGATTTTAGAGGGGCTGTGAGTGTGTATGTGTGTGTGTGTGTTTTTTTTTTTTTTTTTTTTTTTTTTCCGGAATGAGGTGGGAGAGCGAGTGGGTGGGTGGGTGAGAAGCCGGTGGTGAAAATCCAGCGGGTAAACATTTTTTTTGTGTCGTTTTGTGCAGCGTCACTTGCAGGCGGAGGCGACGCCTTGAAAGGCTCTGATCGGGATGGAGTGACAGGGAGGATGCGGATGCAGGAAGTTGGGGGGCTATGTCCCGATTCCGATGCATGATTGTGGAAGATCTCAGTTGTGTTTTTGGCTGATTCCGTCCGGGGCATGGGGAAATTTTGGGGCTTCAGGGTGGGAGAAGTGGGCTCTCACTTGCATGCGTCGGGAATCGGATCCCTTGTGCCCCGGCAACGGAACTCCCAATCCCTCCTTTTCACCCTTCGAGCAACATTGCAACACTGCGTGTTCCTCATGTCCCCATTCTCGAATTGCTTACAATTATTTGAATCAGCGGTACTGTTCACTTTGAACAGTACATCGATTGATGGCCAAACTGGGACTTTACGTGTCGCTTGTTCAATTTAACAACGTTATGTACCAGCTTTGCAAGTAATCGGTCGAAAAGCGGAGTGGACAGAAGAAGAGAAGCTGGACTCTAGTTTTTTTTATCCTTTTAACTTGTGCAGGAAAACTCTATTACCACCCTGCGGCGGCGTTTGATTGAAGCATATAATTAGATTCAGGAGGACCCCACCAGTGGGTTGGATTGCCAGGGGGTTGCGTTGATTAGTAGGGAGACCAGACTACTATTATCCCAGAGACGCGGCAGCAGAGTTATGAGCTTCCCCAACATGAAACATGGCTTTCCTTGGAAAAGGCGAAATGCGAGGAGTATGCCCCCCCACAATTAGCCAGTCTACCCCCATCCCTTCTCATCGTGCGCCTCCGCCATCAAGTGCTGGTCTATATGCATCAAATGCCGGTCTACATACACCAAGACTAGCAAACAATGCACCGACTTTGCGGCAATTTTTACTTGTCCTAGTGTTAACAAGGGGGTCATATCTTGCGCGGGTCATATCTTGCGAATGTTGAGGAGCGATGGAGAACCTTATTGATTGCAGTGTGAAGAAAGTTGAGGACACAGAGGTGTTGTTCGAAGCACTGTGCATACGAGAACACTGTGTCCACTGACTGGAGGGAACTGTAAATTCGTTAAGTTCGTTGATCGAAGAGGAAACATATAAACTAAGTACTGTGATGGGAACTCTTGGGATTAATAGGCAACAATGTCATGTTGAAGAAGGGTGCTAATCCTAAGGGTAAGAGTAGCTGCTAACATCCCCTTCCGCTTGCAACCCTTCTTTTGCCTAGTGATGATAGATTGAGCTAGTCAACTTTAGGATTTATCACCAGTGAGTTGTTGTTCTAGGCTAGTTACATTGTTGGATGTCCAATCTATTTTTCATGAGCTAATCAAGTGATTGGAATGAAGACATGCACAAGTTATATGCACAAGTTATTATCTAATTTTGGTCAATTCTCTTGGTTGTACATCGATGTATCATATAATTAATTTTGGTTATGGATTGGGTGAGTTTTTGAAAGTAGAACTTAAAGAGTTTAGAGTCAATGCAATCTTTGTCCGATTGTAGAGATGATTGTCCATCTTCAGCTGCATCTTCTTCAATGGATGGAACGCAAAAGCCAACTTGTTTGGCACAGGTGTGATATTAATATGCTATTCGAGTGGGCAGACACAATGGAGTCTTTTCAACTTCGGCAGAATGTGGAAGTGAAGTGATTGGTTATCACAATGTTCAATAGAAGAGATTTAGAAATAGAAGAGAGGCCTATAATTATCTAGAATCTAGAGACTAATTATAAGCTATTTAGTATGTTGAGAAAAGAATTTAATTTCATAAAGATTTTCAAAATTGATTTTATTATTTATTATTTATTATTATTTTATATATTTTTTAAAGTTGGTCCTACCAAGCGCTTTTGTAAATATATTTGCAATTTGATTAGTAAAATTCTTATAAATTTACAAGAAGAGCATGACGTAATATTTTGTTTTTTGCTACACCACAAAATAGGTGAGCAATCTAAGAAAAATATGAATTTGTTGGTGGATGTACAATCATTAAGATTTCTTACATTGTCAACATTTGAGAATCTTGAGAGTATAATTTCCTCTCATTTTAGATATTAAAAGTCAATGGAGGGATGTCATAGAAGATATCAAAGGACATTAAGGACTACCTGCAAGTGAACTTTTTGAAGGCAGTACATGAATCAATTGAGAGACTACAAATCCAATGTCCCAACATATTTTAAGAAGATAATTTAATTCATCAACAAGGCGTTATAATCGCCTTGAATTAACTTGCAATGAATATATTTACATAATTTCATAAAATCAAATAATAATATATGGATAAGTGTAAAATTTATATGATATTTCATATGGAACTTAAGTACATAGCTTGTTTGGTGGAATAGAATACTATGAGAGATTTGTGTGAATTGGACACAAAAAAAACATTGTAGATGAATAAAGGTGAATATTTTGTATAATAATTGGAGCTATGGTTTTAAATCAAGAATGTTATTAGAATTAAAACTTATAATATACAAGTCATTGATATATAATATTAGAAAGTAAAGAAACATAGTATAGTATTGGAGGTAGACATTGAAAATGACATCAATTTTATAGAGGCTCTATTATTGTAAGTTGGCATTGATCCTATTATACTAGATTTAAGGACTTTGATAGAAACCATATAATGAGTGATTTAAGTGGCAGATAAGGTGCTTTGTACCAAGATAGACACATTCTTGTAGTTGCTCTATGAAGATTATTTCTTTTAGCCGACTATTAAAGAATGTTATAGAAACATCCATATGGTGAATAAACCAACCATGATGAGCATTAAAGGCAGTAATTATTAATATAGATTTCTATTGGATGGATGAAATAAAAGTTTTTTGAAAGTCAATGTCATGAACTTGTTGGAACCCATGCACTACAATTTGTACCTTATATTGAATTGTTTCATCTAAGGACCCAAATTTGAATTTATATGTTCAATAAGGACTGATAGATTAGATACCATTAAATAGGAGTATAAGATTGTATGTTTTATTAGTTATGATTGCAATATACTCCTCGAATATGGTTTGGACCTGGCGAGGATCGCGACCAACTTAGTAATAGAAGAGGGATTTGCCACCCTCTTCAATAACTTCAATAAAGATTTTAATAAGGTCCAATGGGATGTAATCTTAGTAGGCAGTTGAGAGATGGTGTGATCAAATAGAGCGACAAAATAAAGTGTCAAAGGAGTGAGTTGAAATAGTCAGAGCATGTAGTGTGGTTGGAACGGACTATGGAGATGATAGTAGAGGATCTTTAGAGATGGAAGAGATTAGATCTAAGCTTGGTAGAATTAAAGGAATTATGAGATCTAATGGTGGAATGGATGAGTGAACAACACTCGAGAAGAAGATTGACATGGATAGAAGAGCATGGACAAAAAGTGCACAAGATGTATTTTCATTTAAAAATTGAACATCTTTAGAAAGAATGATGTAGTGGTAAGATAGATCGAAGCATCAAGTACTTTTGGTATCATTGTTGAGGTCAAAGTAAATGTATTATTTTAAATAAGGAATAAGTTTGCATTAGGCTAAAATAATATTTGTTGTATAGTTAGACGTACTACAGACTTGGAGGTAGAAAATATTAGAATTAACACCAGTAAAATATTTTACAAGCATTATGTGTGGATGACCATTTATAATATGCCAATAAAGTAAAAAATAAGCAATTTGGACTATCTTGGCTCCTAAGAAGCTTGGTAGATTGCATTTGAAGAGGAGGCATTTAATCATATTGTACAAAGTGTGATTATGGCTTTTGGTAATGCTATTATATTGAGAGATATATGGTTGAGTGAATTCTTGGCAAATACCATGTTTAGTACAATAATCATGAAAGACAATAGATGTATATTCTTTGTCATTGTTGGTATAGAGAGTATAAAGCTTGGTGTCGTATTATGATTCAATAGTATAATAAAATATATAAAATTATTGAAAAGAATTGATTTTAGTTTATTTTAAATAAAATAAGTAAATATTATTTGAGAATAATCATTAATAAAGGTGATGAAGAAGTATGCTTTGCCAAAAGAAGAGATGCAGAAGGGCCTAATGACATTAGAATAAATTAGCTCAAATGATGTAGTAGATTATTTTAGATCATGTTTTTGGAATTATCATATATGAATATTTTTCCTAAAAACAAATTATAACATGGTATAAATAAGATAATTATATAGATAATTAGAACCATGGAAGTTTCTATAATTGAGTTTAGGTTAGTGGATCAAGTAAGATCCATCATAGAACATTCTAGAAAAGAAGTTTGAGGCACTTATTTAAGTGAGGTCCACCACTTAAGAATATTCTAAAAATTCTAAGGTAGTAGAATAAGATATATATAGGAATGGCCAGGGCCTTTTGGAGTATCTAGTCACATATGGCTTCAGACTCTTTTTCTTAGTAAAGTTTGATTTTGCATCTTTTTGTTTAATCGTGTTCTATTTTGTTCTTGTTTGCTTAGTTTGTCTTTCATGTCTTATTCTATTTAATTTTGTTTAATTCTATTCTAGTATATTTTGTCCTATTTTGTGATGAGATTTTATGTTGCTATGGAATAGAAGGATCTTAGGCTTTTGAGGTAGTCTAGTCTTGTTTCATTGGTATCAAAGCAAATATTAGATTGTATACTTTTGATAGCTTATCAATAGTCATCATTTAGTCCAAGATCAGTTGTTGTGGTCATAGTGCATATTGTGTTAAGGCTACCACAAGTTATTCTTAAAAAGTCAATTTGGAGGTGAAAAGATATTACAATAGTGGAGTCCAATGGAGAAATTATAGTATGAGAGATATGGTAGAACAATCCCAGATAAAGGCTCAAATACAACACTTCTTAGACTAGATAACTACTTTACAAAGGCAAATAGAAGCCTCAAAGAGAAGAGAGTCGACATCGATTAGATTAAAATTGAATAAGCTTAGTACATAATCTGAAACTTTAAGATAAGAAGATATATGTCAATGGCTCTTCAATATGCGATAATATCTCCACCTATTTGGGACAAACACCACTAAAGAAATTATATATGCAACTATCTATTTAAGAGATGTGATAGCCATTTGGAAGCAATATCGAGTTCAAAATTATGGAGCTCAAGGTGAATTTTATAATTGGGAGGAGTTTGGGACTGAGTTTAGGAATCAATTTCAGCTCACCAATACGAAAAAGATAGTACGCAAACAGTTGGTAAATCTTTTGCATTCCGATTCAAGTCATTGTATTTCAAAATTAGCAATGTTTCAAAGGCAGAGATAATGGATCGATTCCTACGAGGTTTGAAACATGGAGTCCATTGAAAGGTAGAGTTAAGATATCTACAAATATTCAAAGAGGCAATTTGGATTGTAGAGAAGGTTGATGCCATAGATTTCAAAAATTATAGAGCACGACCTATAGAATGAAGTCATATGCCGCTATGTAATATTATGGCACAACAACTAATGTCAATGGAGATTGATGCCTTACAAGGATCATTGACACTACAAAGATGATAAATATCATTGCAAAAAGGATTGTCTTTCTATTGTCGAGAGTTAGGTCATCAAATTGAAGGTTGTTCAAAATGTCAAAGTACAAGTATCAATAAGACAAGACAGATTTATAATCTCAAAATTCATCAAGCTAATAATGAGTCAAAGTAAGAAAATGGAGCTTCTCAATAAAGACGTTGGAGGCTAGTACTAGAGGTAGCTACTATCTCTCAAAGAGAAATGGCATAGCTTGGAACAATTATAATAAGAGTCGACTAATGCATCTAATGGGACTACTAAGAGGACAATCATGTTGAGTGCTTGTAGATTGTAGCTCTACAGAAAATTGCATCTCAACTGAAATTACCGACCAATTTGGAATTAAAATAAAAGAAGTCAAAAGAGGAAGTATATACCTTATATATAATCGAGAGAATGTATTGTATGAGATGTGTGAAGAAAAAACCTTGAGATTGATAGACACCTACATCTTGAGAGAGAGATTTAAGGTTATAAAGCCAAAGTATGATATTATCCTTGGTATACCATGGCTAAAGATGGAAAATAAGAAAGTTGATTGGGTAGCAAGAATAATCTCTGTTAAAGATAGAGGATACAAGATGATTCTTTGTACCTCCACATTAAGTAAAGAAGAAAGATATCTTGCAACCAAAGACTTACTTATACAAAAATATCATGATATCTTTCTAATCAACCTACCTAGTGGCATACTTTCTAATTGAGGTGCCTTCTTTCAAATAGAACTATTGCCTAGAGCCAAACTGGCAAGTTGACAAATTTATTGCCTAACACCAAAAGAACCTGAAGAGTTGCAGAAGACATTGGAAAGAATCTTAGAAAAAATCCTCATTTGAGAAAGCACATCACTATAGGAAG